GCACATACATTAAATTAATAAAAATTAAGCTTACAATCCTAATTACTTTAAACTGAATCATTGCTAATAACAATTTTCCAATAATACCATTAAAAATAAAAATAATATCCTCAAATAATTAAAAATACTAACTTACCTAATCTTCTTCAGAATCTTGATTACGTGGCCGATAAACTTTCTTATTTTCTCTTTCCTGCTAAATAAAAGCAAGCGTATTGTGGCGCCTGTTTCAGGATCTTTAAAAAATCTACTTATAGTTGTTCACAGCAAGGTACCAGGTAAATAAATAACTTAATAAAACATCTTTTACTTTTATATCACACAACCCCTTAAAAAAACCTTATTACTACCCCTTTCAATCCCACTAAATACCAATTTCGAATTCACTTTAATAGGGCCATGGGATCCAAAAATTAACCAAACACTGTTTCTAACACACAATGAATAAAAAGCTAAATACAAAATTTCCAGATTTCCCCCCTTTTCTGATTAAAGAACTGTAATTCGTCCATTAATATCACATGACATATCCCATGATCTCTCATTTCCCTCACACAAAATAATGCGTAATCGGAACTGAGTAGTGCTCACATTATTACCAAAGTCCCAGGTAGTAACCTTTATCGCCTCCAAAATGTCGCCAAACTACCAGTTATCATATTCTAAAGATCAGCCCATTTTTTTAGTAATATACTTTCTGTTAGCTGAACATCTCGTCACTACTAAATTTGCAGGTAAGCACTGTTTATTGTATATTAATGTGAATGATATCAAAAAAAATGTAATTTTAAAGCTATGAACAAAATGAAATTATGAATTGATCATCAGTTCAGTTTTATTTTCATTATCAAGTGTGCAGAAGCAAGACCGTGAGCAAATGTTTACTCTCATTTTTGACTCGCTGCTTAAAAATTTTAATTTAGAGTGTCAGTTTTATTTGTTAGATATAATTCAACTTTTGTTGCTTTTAAAAGATAATGTGAGAAAGAATTTTTTTTTTTTTTTTCATTTATTGCAGTACTTTGCAACATGTTATGCTATTTTTCAAAATTAATTTCACAATTTAATTACTTCCATATCTTGTATCACATTACAAATAATGTACTTCCATAACAAGGTTATAGTTTTATATAATAAGTTTCTTAGTTATTATTAATTTACAAATGGCATATTACTTTTCAACACTGAAATTTTTCACATCTCTTTTATGTAAATTTTTGAGATTATTCCTAAAATTTATTACCTTAGTCCTTTCTTCCCATCATGTTTTTACGTGTAACACATTTGTGTTGTTCAAGTAACCCACTTTCTTTTTTAAGAGATTTAGTTAAAATATTTCTTACTTTAGATTAGAGTGAATATGCAAAGTACATAAGGACTACCTTTGCGGAGAACTTTTTAAGAGAAACTTGCTCGTATTTATATTATTATAAGGGTACACTTTTAGCTTTTAGAAACTATTTATTTACAATCTTAGAATGTATAATCACAGAGAACTGCAATACCAGCATAGTTCTATTTTTTATATCTGTATCCAAAGTGTTGCCAATTACAAGTACTAATATTAAATGTTACCATTTACAATTATTAAATTTACATCTTCCATTTTTTTTAAAGAGTTCAAAAGTTTTAACATCTAAATCAGTCAAATCCTGGCCGGCTTTCTAATACTCTCCCACTTCTAGTTCTTAGCTCACCGTTCTTGTTTCTGAGTTAGCCAGAGTTGGTAGTTGATCTTCTAAACTTTGCCCTTGAGAATATCTGGAATCATATCCTTTTTTTACATCTGTTTTCTGTGTATAACTCCTTGTTCTGTTCCTCTGTATTCTCTTCAACAGCTGAACTTTTTCTCTAATATCTTTTCTATTTCTTCTCAATACTGATCCACCTGATCTCAATATATATTATCTAGGCGTCTTATATACTTCTTATACAACTGCTGCTTTCCAGCGATTATCTTGACGTACCTGAACTCAATCTCCTTTGTTTAGCATTAGTAATGTTTTTGTATGACTATTATAATATGACTTCTGCTTTGTTCTTTCTTGGTTGAATTTTTTCTTTTACATTTTTCACAACTTGAGGTTTTAGTAGTTCTTTGGATGTAGGATGAATCGTTCTTGTTCTTCTACTCATAAGTAGTTGAGCTGGGATGATCCTAGTATCGCATTAGTTGGAATGTTCCCATGAGCTAACAATGCTAAATAAGGATCAGCATGATCTGCGTGAGCTTTCTTTAACAATTTCTCAGCCGTTTGTACTGAAGGCTTTGCTAATCCATTTGACTGTGGATAGTATGGACTGCTTGTTATATGTTTAAATTGGTATTTCTTTGCAAATTCTTACTTGCAAACTGAGGTCCATTATCAGATATCACTATCAATGGTATAAGTATCTTGCAAAATGAGATTTCATGTAACATATTACTGTCTGACTTCGAGTATCCGGTAGTTGGAGATTTAAAAAAGTTGGAATAGTAATCTACAATTAATAAATATACTCTTTGTTAATCTCAAATAAATCTATCGCAACTTATACCAGGTAATTGGAATATCATAGGCTCTCATATTACATATAGAACGTATTCATAATATAGAACATAGTAGTAATTTTGAATTATCTTCTATCTGCTGTTCATAAGTGCCAAACAAAACATCTCTAGCTCTTTCTTACATTTTCTATACCAAAATGACCCTCATGAATTAAATTAACATTTCCTTTTGCATAGATAAAATATTACCCTTCCTCCTTTGAGAAATAAGTCATTTTCCATTGTCACTCATCTCTTATCCCAAAATACTTTGACTTGAGGTTCTACCTGATGTTTTCTTTCTGGCCAGCCTCTCAGATATATTTCTTTAAGCACTGAGGTAGCATCACATTCACTTTTTTCTCATTTCATAAATTTTGTCATCAGATGCTGGAATCAGTGTACAAATTTCTGTATCTTCATCATTATCTTCTTCTGTTGTATTCAAACATGCTCTACTCAAAGTGTCTGCTATTTACTGCTAAAGTCTTTCCCCTTTTTGTATCGTACATCTAGATCATATTTTTGTAAATTTAACAGCATTCTTTGCAATCGCTGTGGAGCTTTAAAAAGAGGTTTCTTAGTTATGCTTTCTAAGCAAAGTGTTATAAATTAAATTCAGCTCTTGAAATGTTTTCTCTCTAGTATTATTACACACAATGAAATATCTGAGGATGTCAATGAAGTAAAAAGCATTTTGAAAAGAAGGTGGAGTTATTTCTTCATCCCCCACTAATTAAATATTTGGTACTGTTCTGTCATCAGGATTGGATCCAAAAATGTATGTACGTATGGATGGATGTGTTCATGTTCATGTATGCAATAAGATGACTTGGTGGAAAGTTGCAATGGATTGTCGTTGGAGAGCCTTAAATGCGTAGTTAGAAAGATGACTCTTGAAGACAAACGTGGCCACTGATTTAGAAATATAACTTTATTTCTTGATAATGTACATCATCACTGTGGGTGCACTGTGCATCCCACAATTTTATACAGCTTACATCTTCTTAAACAATGGACAAAATTAGAAAAGTGAACTCTGTGTGTGATGCAGCAAAAAGAAGCAGACAAGAGGAGAGATGGAGTTGCAATGCAGTTACCTTTTATACCATTTCAAATCACATGACAGGTTATGTTCAGATGTTGGGTTCAGCTTTCATCAATAAGAACTGCAGGGAGTTAGAAAAATTATTGCTTTGTTATTTTTAGAATGAAGATGGAAGTTAAGGGGCTATTATTAAATTATTATTTGAAAGATAGATATTTTATATTTTACATATCCTCCTCTTTAAGAAGAAAATGGTTTGGTAAGAGAAAAGCTTTTTTAGAGGAAAAGTGCTAAAGCATTAGCAAATGAAGAGAAATAATTTGAAAAATACAAATCCTGAAAGTTTGACCAAGATAATTATTTACATAATTGCAAAATATAAACTTTGATAATATTTTAGAGTCCTTTTAAAATTTTCATTTCAAAAGTCTTTGTGCTTTACACACATAGATTTTTTTTTTTTTTTTTAGAGAAGGTTTTGCACACAATATCACTATTGAAAAAATTCTGGACACGCATTACTTATTTCGAATAATCAAAAAAATTTCAAAGCATAACTACTTTTCAATATTATAACTTATATTTTAACATCATAAATTTTATAATAGCATTACTAAAATTATGGTTTTTACTGTTACTGTTACATTTCTAATTTTCTTATGTTACACAAAACTAGAAGACCCACACCTTTCTGTAATAGAAACATTTCCATCTGTTAGGCAAATCCACTTAAAACTGACTGTTGTACATCCATCAGTGGTTTAGGGCTGCTTTGGTAGTTGCTGATAATGGCCTCTGTTCCTTGTTTAATGCACTGCTCGATACATTCCATTTATATTAACGAGCCAGTTTCCCTTAGAAAGTCCTCCACGAAAGGCATCCCTCCCCTTAGGCAGATAGCCCTAGTGTGCTTTGCCATAATTAAATACGCCACTCCATTTATATTAAAAAAATTATAAAATATTATATTTATTTATATAAAGATATAGAATAAAAAGATCAGCATACAGCCAAGTAAATAACATAGAAATTTCTTTTCAAATAATTCCTTTTATAGCCTAAAAAAAACTAGAATGTTTTTTTGAAGAATGAGAGTCCTTAAAAACTAAACATGGTTAAAACGTATGGTCTGTTTTTTATTGTGCTGCCATCTAGTATAAATAAAGAAGGTTAAACTTAACCTGCAAACAGAACTTTTCCATTAAGTTTTTCTGTGTGTACAGAGGAAATTTTTTGGGTACACTGTGCCGGAAAGGGTTAATATTGTATTTTGCTTTAAGCAAAATTGTATGATTTTTAAAAATTAAAAATTCATTTCATCTTTTCATCAATATTCATAACTGCTGAAAAGTATATCCATAAATTCATATTTCTTATTTCATGATGCATAACAATTTTATATCGGTACAAATGTGTTTTTAGCTGATGCTATTTCTGAGGTATTTGAAGAAAGAAAAGACATAAATGAACTTGAACAACCAGTTGTGTATAATCCGGATTCTCTTCTGTCATTTGAACAACAAAGACAGAAACTTCCAATTTTTAAGGTAACTTTTTGATTGTAAATTTATTTGCCTTCAGTTTCTTGGCAAGATAATGAATTTAAAATAATCTTAAGGTAATTTATATTTTTTACTATGTAAATGAGAGAGAAAAATAATTTTTTCAATTGTTGAAATTTAGATTTAATGTCTTAACCCTCTGAACAGTGCAAGATTTAAGACCTATATTTAAACTGCCTTTATTAGCTAAATTTGTATAATTAGTTATTTAATCTCTAGTTTCATAAACTTCCATTTATTAAGATGACATTTATATTATTAAAGAAAGTAAGAAAGCAAAATATCTTAAATTATAAGATTTTATATATATATATATATATCTACCAAAAGACAAAAACTAATATTGGATAAAGCCAATCATGCCTGCTCAGGGTTAATTTAATATCGCACATAATTATGCATTTAAAACTATGTATTTCAATGCAATTATCAAAATTTAATTATATGTATTTGTTTATCATACTTTGAGTTTCTTCAAATTTATTTTGTATTATTATTAAATTATTTAATTTGTTCCTGTGAATGTGATTAAGCAATTGCTTTTATTATATTCACAATGTAAATGATTTTTAAAGAATTATTCTCTTTGTATAAGAAATGTGAGACTTTTCTGTTAATGAAACATCAATTAGGGCCAATTATGTACTTTGGCATGAAATCTAACTAAATAGCGATAAGCTTAATGATATGTAAAGTTTCAGTAATGTACTACAGTACAAAGTCTGAGATCCGGACTCATCAGGACTTCGGCGATTCCGGATTTTTCCGTATATTAGATCATCAATTTAAATTGAGTAAAATGCCATATAGAAATTATACAATTAAGAATATAAAATCATAATTTATGAAATAAAGAGCGTTTATGATCTAAAGGGTATCAAAATTTACAAAAAAAAAAAAAAAAAAAAAGCTTAATATTTATTTGTTTACTTTATTAAACATTTCTTTCTATGTAAGTTGTTTAAGTTGCTTCATTTCTTGTGCTAATACTTTCTCTTTAATTCTATAAAAACACATAATTTCTTGTTCAGTTACAAAGTTGAAGTCTTGTAATTGCTGTGTCGAGAATTCTGACTAACTTGTCAATCAAATTTTTTTTTGTTTTCAATAACCTCTCTGTCATTTTCTTCACTGTCAGTAGTGATATTTTCTAGATCTAGAACCATACTACAGATTTCGCCGTTCGTTAACTGATTGATAATTGGGGCATTATCATCGTAATGAAAAAACTTCTGTTATATCATCTTCATTTACTACTGCTTCACCACATTTCTTTACAAAATCCATTACTGGAAAACTTCACCTTTATTTTGCAATATACGAAAACCTTCAAATTCGCAGCTATCATCTTCACTATGAAATATGGTAGCTGGCCGTAAATATGCCAAACATTTTTTTGAGTATTTGGAAGCATTAAATCGGTAGTATTTTAAAGTATTCCCATGATCTTGCGATGCTCCACACAGCAGATTTTATGCTAAAATATTCGAAAAATTCTTGAATAGTCTTGCCATTGTTCAAGAAATTTAACATGGATTTTAAAAATGCTACTTTATATTTGCATTTAAGCACTCTGTGACGAATTTAAAAGGCAAGAGGTAGCGTAAATAAAATTTATTTGGGTTCTAGGCTATATGGAAAAAAAAATAAATAAATAAAAAATAAAAAAAAAAATAAGTAAACTTATAAAATATTGTTTTCACAGTAGAGGGAGGGGAAATATATATCAACAACTTGATGGTGTGGATAAGGTTTCTGTTTAGAATTGATTCAGGATCACTAAGATTATGTTTGGAAAGAGTTCAAGATGTTTGGAATAGTTCTTGCACAGTTCTGTTTAGAATTAGTCCACTCTTTTGCCCGGTGGTTGCCAGTCTGAGCTGGTTATGAGGAGGATGCTCTCCTGTAAGGTAGCAACGAACCCGGCCGCTAAATCTCTTGGCAGAGATACTAATATCGCTCTATGCAGAGTGAAACAAAATTTGCTCATGGCTGAGCTGGAAAAAGAAAGAAGGTTTGTCTCTCTACTTGCTGTAACTCACTATCACTCGCTGTCCTGCTTTCTGGAACTGCATTCCATGTTTTTGTTCAAGTTATCCTGGGTGTGTCAGAAAAATTTCCAGGATCCTCATTTGTCTGTAATTTTTAGAAACGCCTCTTAATTGGCAAGAACACCTTAATTTAAAACTGGATATTATAAACTAGATTAAAAACTGGATATACAGCCTGGGAAAAACTCTGTGAGAACTTTCCGGTTCCAGCTGGGGAATCAAACCGGGTGGTCTGAGACAGTGCACCTATAAACTGATGAAAGAGAATGGAACAATGTCTCCCTTCGAACAACTATAAGAGGAACAAAAACTTGAGCTTGTTTTGTGACTGCTGGTTACTTCATCTTTCTGAGAATTCATTAAGAAATACTCTGTTCATGGAAACATTCGAGATAACCATTCTTTTTCTCAGAACTTCGTGACAGTCAGTAAAATAGCTTAAAACGTTTACAGCACTCAACTATTCTTATATCCATAGGCTGAATGACAGACGTACAATTTGGAGGAAAGAGAACAGTTGTCTGCGATTAGACTATTTCTGAGTCATCAGGGAAACCAACTGAATTCGAATGTTGCCAAGTGTCAGGTATAAAAGGATTTTCAAACCAATCATTCATTAATGCTTGTGTCATCCCTGCTCTTTTATTTGCACAATATATAACTGGAAAAGTTGTTACTCCTTTAAATGCTCAAAGTCGTGTATGTTTTCCAATTACGAAAAGTTTGCACTTGTGCGTTCCTGCAGCATTCACACATGCTAAAATTGTTAATCGTGCTTTGGAATCTTTGATACCAGTAGAAGCGTTTTCTGCAGAGGTTGCCAAGGTATTTCGTGGTACATATTACCAAAAAAGACCAGTTTCATCAGCATTGTAAATTTGTTCTGGAGATAATTGTTCACTAGTAATAAGTTCAATGAATTCATCTGCAAATAGTTCAGCAGCTTCAGTACCAGCTGAAGCCTCTTTACCTGGAATTTTTAATTGCTTTATACCATGGTGATTTTTAAATTTAATTAACCAACCTGTCGAATATGTGCATTCAGTTTTTAAGTTCATTTCTTCATGAAATATTTTAGCTTGAGCCATTAGCATTAGACCCATCATTGGCACTCCCTCGCTGCGACACTCTCTGCCCCATTAAATGATCACTTTGTCATGATCGTCACTTTTAGCATAACGAGCAATTTTTCTGTTATTCATTGTGAACTGGGTGTCAGAATCCAAGAAAAATTCAAAATGTTCCTTTTTCTTTTTTTGTATGTCATATACAGTTGACGTTCCAATGCCATACTCCTTGTATAAGTTTTATCCACTTTTTGCAGGAATTCAACTTTTTGTTTAATAGACATTGAAACATTCATTTGCTGTGTAGATCCTTTGGCAGCTCCAGAATTAGGAATTCTTTCGGCATAGTCAAAAGTTCAAGGTTTAATTTTTATAAAATTGCTGTAATAATAACAGTCGGCCAAAAATAATAAGCTGGATCAAATTAGGAGATTAAGGAGCAACACAGTCTGCTACATTAACTGTAATGCCTTAGAATCAGTGAAAATAATTTTAGTGTCTGTTATACATTATTGGCTATGCATCATAAGACTGGCGTCAAACGGTAAGTTAGCCAAGTTGTTTCGCTAAATTTTGTCTTGCTTCTATTGTGTACTGAATTAAGCCTGAATAAGCCTGAATTGTATTAGTTATTTATTATACCTACATCTATTTCTTGCACATGCTTAAGACTAATCCGAGTTCTGAATAAATAAACTCCCACATATACTTGAGGAGGCTCTGTCTAGGGCCGGTGCTAGATACCCCCTGGTGGCAATATTTGTGGGTCCTAAATTCTGCTACAAAGCACCTTCCGAAGTTCTAAATTTTCACTGCCCCTAAACTTTGGATCAGAGCTTTCACTAAATTATAAAAAAATTGTCATCCCTTAATTTTGACGCTCTGTGCTTTCCAAATTCCAAAAATTTGGCCTTTCCTAAATTCTGTCTAAATTCTGTTGTCCGTTGCGGCTATATTCTGCTGCTGCTTCTGGGTTTATGTGAATAATACAGTCAAAAGTCGTTAATTCGGACACCCATAATCCGGAATGATCTATAATCCGGAACTCAAAGCTAAAATCTTTCTGCGCATGCGCCGCGTTGACGCATGCTCATAGGCGTTTTACGCGTGCGCGCAAGACAGTTACGACGGTGCATATGCGTCTGCGCAAGCGCAGAATATGTTTTCGCATGCGCGTTTAATGTATAACGGACGGTATAAGCTAAATTTATCTAATTATCTATTTCAGTTAATGTTGATGATTGCGTTGTTCTTAATCTTCGAATTGGATCCGGCTTATTATTTTTTTGCAGACTGTAAGAGCAATTTTATAAAAGTAAGCTGAACTTTCGATTATGTCAAATAGAATTTCCGATACGGAGCTCCCAAAGGATCTAGAAAACAAAGTATGATTCGATGTCCATCAAACAAAAAACGAATTGCTACAAAAAATGGATAAAGTTATATCCTTTGTTTATCTAAAAAAACCGTCCCGAAATCTGTTATCAATTTCACGCTGCTCCCGCGGGGGGGGGGGGGGACGTCGCGCGCGCAATGAACTGAAGTTGATCTGTCACCACTATCGTTATCTTCAGGCAGGTGGTTTTATTTTATTCGCTTATAATTCCTTACTAAACGTAGTAAGTATTTAATCTCGAGTACTCCGTCTTTGATATTTTTAAATCAATTGCTCGTCATTATAAATATCACGAATACAAATCAAATAGTATTCTGGTTGCAATTTTCTAATTTTCCGGCTATGCGTAAGGTACGCATGCGTGCGTTGAAAGAATGTTTATAAAAAATAAATATTAAGCTTCTTTTTTTGTAAATTTTGATACCCTTTAGATCATAATTGCTCATTATTTTATAATTAACGATTTCATATTTTTTAATTTATATTCTGATGCCTCTTACCAGATTAAACTGATGATCTATAATCCGGAAAAATCGATAATCCGGAATAGCCGAAGTCCCGACGAGTCCGGATTAAAGACTTTTGACTGTATATGAGTTGTTCTTAATTCAAATAGCACTAAATGTAATCCTTTGGCCTGTGAGTTCCATTAACAAAATCTATTTTTAGCATATGAAAAGAAATTTTTGTTAAATTTTTCCTCTTCAACATTTCTTAGAGCATTTAACTTAAATCTGTTCTTATCGCCAAGCGTAATATTAGCGTAAAAGGTTGCCATACCCTTGTTATTCAATTACTAATATAAAAAAGTATTTAGGCATCAGTGCATGAGCCATTACTGAAGCTGTCATTTATTGCTAAACATCCAGTGGTGAAAGCAAATTATATTAAATAATGATTCGCCAGGTTGGCGTTAGGGATATAAAATACTAGTAGGTGTAAAATCAATGTTGTTTCCATGTAGAATGTTTCGTTTTGAGACGTATGCCAAACAGTCACTCACCTATGGAGCCAAATTATTAATCTCACATATTTATTCTTACATGATTGTTTCTTCAGTAACGAGGTATTTTATTTAGTTCCTAAGTGAAATTAAGAGTTGGGACTCTTCACATGTTTTATTATGGAAGGAAAAATCAATTATGCATGCATAAATCATACAAAAAAAGTTTGTGGCTTTAAGGTCCGGATTTTAGATCATTCCGTATATTGGATGTCACAATCTCGGACTTTGTGAGAATTACACAAATTTGGCATTATGCACATTAATTATTGCACAGCTATTCATGATAAGATATAAACAGACTATCACATTTGGTACACATTTGACAAAATGTGCATTGTTAACAGAAAACTATGAGAAATGTTGACTGCTATTAGCTTCAAAAATACTGGTTTTTTATACTCTTTTATTTTGAATTTAGTATAGAAATCATATTCTATACCTCTTGGAAAAGTATCAGACTGTCATTGTGCTAGGTGAAACAGGTTCCGGAAAGAGCACTCAAATTCCTCAAGTATGTTTCAAAATGGCTAGTTAATATTTTAAATATTTTTTTATGATTTATTTAGTTTACTGTTTACTAACTTTTTTTTTTTTTTTTTTTTTTTTCCCCGTTAAGTATCTCTTAGAAGCTGGCTGGGCTGAAAATAATTCAGTTATTGGAATTACTCAACCTAGACGTGTTGCTGCTACTATGGTAAGAAGAGTTACCATATATTTTCGAATATAAGGCAATCCATGTATAAGCTGAGAGTGCATTTTTCCTTCAAAAATTTACCCCACATTTAAAATCTGTATATAAGCTGAAATTTAAAAAAAAAAATCTTTTAACATTCAGACATATAAGCTGAGAGTGCAATTTTTCTTCAAAAATTTACCTCATGCTCAAAATCTGTATATAAGCCAAAATTAAAAGAAAATTCTTGTAAACATGCCGCATGAGGTGAAAATGTTGCCAGGCTGGTAAAATGAGTAGATTATTTTCCAATCAAATGACTGTAAAGTAAAATTCCAGATGTCAACGATGGTTTTAATTCTGATAACCTTATCTGAAGCATTTATTCCTTTCATCTGTGGTATCTATGTTGGTCTTATTTTCTGTGCCAATTAATTTTTTTTCTGAAAAATGTGACGGAAAGAGAAATTACAGTCAAAAGTCGTTAATTCGGACACCCATAATCCGGAATGATCTATAATCCGGACCTCAAAGCTACAAAACTTTCTCTCTCCGCATGCTCCTTTATGCTGCGCGAAGACCTTACGGCTGCAAACCTGTGCGGCGCACAATACGTTACGATGTGCGTTTATGTGAACGGCGTATAAGCTAAGATAAAATATCTAATCAGTTAATGTTGCAGTGCAGTTCTTAATCTTCAATTGGATCGGCTTATGTTTTTTTGCAGACTATTACAGCAATTTATAAAAGTAAGCTTGAACTTTCGATTATGTCAAATAGAATTTCTGATATTTTTATATACGTAAAGGATCACAAAGCAAAATATGTTTCGAAGTCGTTAAACAAAAAGTGGAATTGATGCAAAATGGATAAGGCATCCTTTGTTTATCTAAACTTTAACTTTTATCTAACTTTGTTTATCTTTAAGCGCCCCGGCGCAATGAATGGAATTGATGTGTCAGCACTATCCTTATCTTCAAGCAGATGTTTTTATTTTATTTGGCTTATATTCCTTACTAAATGCAGTATTTCATCTCGATGTACTTGTCTTTGTATGATTTAAAAAAATTCCTTCCTCTTATAATCACTTCCATAAAATGTTTTTATAGAATTAAATAGAATTCCACTAAAAAACGAAGCAACTTTAAACAACTTGCATTGAAGAAATGTTTAATAAGTAAACAATAAATATTAAGCTTTTTTTTTTTTTTTTTTTTTTTTTTGGTAAATTTTGATACCCTTTAGATCATAATTGTTCTTTATTTTCATAAATTACGGTTTCAATTTTTAATTTAGAATTTCTGCACGTCATCTTACCAGATTTAAACTGATGATCTATAATATGGAAAAATCGATAATCCGGAATCGCCGAAGTCCCGACGAGTCCGGATTAACGACTTTTGACTGTATATGGCAAATTTCTAATAACAGTATGGCTGCTAGGCAATTTTTCTTAATGGTGAAACAAGTTCTATAGTGGAGAAAGTTGGGCAGACATTTTGCCAACAGAACTTTCATTTTGGTGATTACACAACAAATAAATATTATAAATAATTTCCAAAATAAAACAACTTATTTTTGTAAAACAAATAATTTGCTTCATTTAAAATAAATTTTGGTAAAAGTATATTTTAAAAGTACCCCTTTGCGATTTTTGGTGATACATGGATACCGAGTTTGTGCAATTCTTTGACTTATTTTGGCCTGCGTAGCGGCGATTTTTGGCACAAAAATTGGCGCTACTCAAGCCAAAAGAACAAGTCAAAAAATTGCACAAACTCGGTATCTATGTACACATCGACCTATTTTCACTTTAAAAAAAAAATCCCCGAATTGCACAAAAATGGCATTGTGCACTCCCTTGACTTTATCCATGTACACATTGACCTATTTTCACTTAAAAAAATTGGACAATTGCACAAACTATGCTTTACACACTCCCTTATTTTGTCCATGTACATATCGATATATTTTCACGTAAAAAGTCAAAGGAGCACCCAATTTTACAGTAGAAGCAAACAAAAAAATACATAATCTCAATAAACTAAATTTTAAACCAAACAATAAAATAACACAAAAAGGAAAAACCTGTTATGTATTTTAGCTCTACACAAAGCAAATATCTCCTTACTTTATTTAGAAATCCATTCGTCTTCAGTCTGTGGCACACAAAATTCCTTAACAGCATCCAAGAACTTCTTAAAATTATCTGAGCTACAATCCATATATCGGCATCACCACAGAAATTCACAAAAATAGGAGTCAAAAATATACTATGTAGTTCCGGATTATGGCTACTAAGTAAACCTTCATTTACACACCAGTCAATTAATGCACTTTTCCCCTTTCATTTAAATCATACAGAAACTTCAAATTAATCCTACTACATTCAGCCATTGTACCGTCTAAGCAATGAAACAAGCAATGTACTTCCTAAGCAACACACACCAAAAAAGCCCTTGCAAAACTTCCCATAATTCAAAATTTTCCAGAATAATGCAAACGATTACATAATTATAGGGTTTCCATAGTATTCAACTACTCAGGTTATCATTAATGATACAACAAATTGGCGATAAGCGAAACAACAGGTTGGCGATAAGTGAAACAATAACTTCACGATAAATGAAACAACAACTTCACGATAATACAAGGGGTACCTTTAAAGTCAACTCTAGCCTAAATTTTTTCGATAAAATTAAGAAATATAAAACTAAAGAAATTTTTAAAAAAAAAAAAAAAAGTGTGATATTTAGTGATTTAACACTTATGCTCAGCTGACAGAAAAATACCTAAGTTTTTTACTAGAATAGTGGACCTGTATATAAGCCGACCCAAGTAATTTAGTTTTAGAAAAAGTTCCAGAAAATCCTTGGCTAATACTTGAAAATACATGGTAATTTTATTAAGTATTAATGTAACAAAGCATGTTATATAACTATTTTAATAAGTTTTCAGTGAGCCTGCATTTATCCCCAATTTCATTATTGTTATGATTCATTTCCTCAGCTACTAATTAAAATTAACCATTCAAAAAGATATAGATCAAAGTTGAAATTTTTCTAAGATTAATTAAAATTTGTATTACTAAAATTCAATGTGTTTATACATATGTCATTAGTATTGTTAATAATTACCTTTCAGCTCAACTGTCAACTTCATAAAGGAATGTATTCCTATTGCTCTATTAAATTGCAGATGCTCCAAAATTTTGACAGTTCTGTGACAAAATTCAAATTATATCTTCATCATGATAAGTTGAAAATATGCTTATCCATCATGCATTCATAAGAAGTGTATTTAGTACAGTTGCTGCAAGGTGTTTTCACAGTTATTGTTTGTGCTTGGTGTAATACATAATTTAAGTTTTTATTTATTTATTTTTTGAAAATTTCCTTTAAATTTGTTTTCAGTGGGGGAAAAAAAGAGCATTCATTAGTGGATGAGTAAATTTTGAAGTCATACTAATAACTGTCACTTTAAACATGACACCAAGCAATGGAAAATAACAGGAAAGAAATGTAATGTATCACAGTGAATTATTTAAAACCAAAAAAATTTCACTAATTAGTACAACATTTTGTTTTGCGATGTTTGAATATTTTTGAAGAAATACTATACTAGTGTTTGTAAATAATTCAGATTTAAATTTAGATAAATCTTCTCAACTGAAAATTTCTTAAAGAATTAAAATATATGCATTAATTACTTTCTGAACTGTAGAAGGTTGGTGTTAAAAGAATTGAATTTGATTTTAATTTGTAACTACTATTAAGAATTCATGGTACATGAGTATATAATGCTCATGATTAACTAGTTGAGGAAGACTAGTCTTAAAGTTTAATCCATAGTGATCTGGTCCTTGAGCAGAAGTCAGTATGCATCTGGAATCGGGAAGAACCTTTAGTCAACAGTAAAAATTGTGGCATTTATGTTTGAGCTTAAATTGCAGTACTTCTGTACTTCTCAGTTTATGAGATAAATCACAATTCTAGTTGGAGCATGCCGGAACCCTAAATAAAAGGGCTGCAGTACTTCTTTATGTAAGAGAAGCACAGTTTCGGCAGACAAATTTTGATTTAAAGATAAATGTACCTCTAAAATTGATTATAACTTCCTAATTCATGCACGTCTTTGTTTGAGAAAGAAACATTTTGATGTGGGTTAAGAATTTTTTGAAAGAAAATCCCCATCCACGTATCAAAGGCTTATTTTCCAGATAGTGCTATAAATTTATGAATGCGGGTAAAATGTTTTGTTCCTGAAAGTATTATCAGTGATTATTTTGGTCTTCCATGTCCAGTGCTAGTGACCTCTCACTGCAGAGCTTCTGCAGACTTGAACTCTTATAACGAAATATGGGGGACAAATATTGTCACTTATGCAGACCTTGCATTTGTTCGTATGTTGTTATCAGATCGGATTCAGGGGGAAATTTTTTTGTCTGGTCACATTCTTCTTGATAGCTAGAATTATATTGGCAGGGCATCACTGTCAGAAAGCGTTAGACTCTTCTCTATTTTTGAAGCTACAATTCTGCATTGAAATGTCTTTCCATACTCTCATATTGTTTCTAGCATTCTGTCTATTTTCATTAGTAGCGTTTTAATCGTTTTACTTTTTTCCACTGGTGTGCTGGAAAAAGAAGGCTCCCCCCCTTGAAATTGTATGTTGTACTGTGTATTTAGGGTCCAAATTTCTAAACTCAGCCAGGGGACAAGCTGAGCTAATTCCTTTGTTTTTGTTTGAAATTTAAGTCCAGTTGGAGTTCCAAATAAAACAAGGTTCGATATTTTTCTTTTATTTAAATATTTAAAATTAATTTAATAATTTATTAATTTTTATTTGTATCTTTATATTTATTAGCCCTGAAGTACTATCAATTTCGTTTTGGCATTTTGCGTTGAAAACGTTAAATGTCCATTTCACTTTTCCAATTGTTACCTTCAAATATTATTGCCCTGTGTTATATTTAAAGAGATTAAATAATGAAGAATCTGTACAAATGTATGTATGTTTCC